AAAAAAAAAAAAAAAAAAAGAAAGAAAGAAAGAATCTGCTTTTTAAGTTCATGTATTTTTGTTGCTGAGGGGTAGTGGGAAATCTTTAAGATTGTAATTGGTTTGGGTTTGTATTCAATGAAGCACTTCCTTTGTTACTCCCAGGTACCCAGCTTAGGGAGTGGGATGGGGACACTTACCTTTTGAAAGAATGAATTCCTGAGACCAGGCCTGGTGGCGTGTGCCTGCAATCCCAGCGCTGGGCAGGCTGAAAACAGGAGATCACTGCGAGTCTGGGCTGCGTAGTTGAGACCCTGTACCACGTACATAAAAAATAAAAATGAATTTCTGAACACCCCTACACTGCTAGTGTCCGCGATAGTCTTGTTCCAGGCCAGCTGTCAGCGCTGCTCACCTCCCCTTCTGCTGCACCGCGTGAAGAACTTAATCACTGGCTTCCTAAGGGACTGCTAATGGTGAAGTCAAGAACGCACTGAGGTATTTCTGACCTGGACTGCTGCAAGGGTGGAAGGCGGGAGAGGAGAAAGATAAATTAGGTATGGTTTCCATCCTTAGTCTGATGTCTTGAAGCAAATGCTTTTGGTCAAGTCTCAAAAAATATTCCTCTGTTTTTACCTTGGTGAGAAATGTAAATGGAAGTCTGACCAAAAAAGACTGCTTACCTTTTCAGATTTAGGCAGTCTTTTGCTGTATTGTTTAAAATGACAAAGAATGGAAATTTGCAAGAATATTGCAGGAGCTGTGTCTCCCCTACTCTAGCCAGGCAACAAAATAGTGCTCCAGAGAGATTCCAGGTGAGTATTTAGTATTCTGTTTATGATACTAAAGGGAACCTTTAAGTAGAATATGTCCTCAAGTTAAAAATATGGGCTTAAATAACTAGTTGTAAAACTAAAATAGCCTTTGGAACTTGGACTCACTTCACAAATTGTTTAGAAAAACTTTAAAAATATGCCATAGCACTCTGAACGTATCTGAATATATTATGATATTATGAACAGAAAAACTAGTTTTAGGAATAAAAAATTATACTTGCATCAAGAGGTTTTAGAATTCTTTTCAAGAGTGTTCACAGGAAAATGAAGGTATTCAGAGCAACAGCGATTGATGATTAAGCCAGAAAATTCCATGCCCATTGTAAGTACATGATTTGAAAAGAAAACAAGAAGATAAAGAAAATATGTAATCAACCTATGGCATCAAATGAAAATTTCAGAACAAATGTTCATAATGTGCCATTTTTGCAATTGCTTACCACTTCCCAGGGGCTTTCAAACCCTGCCCCTCGTAGATTGAAGGGTTACCTCTTTGTTCGCAGAAACTTGCTGTACAAGATGATGAGTCTGGTTTACTTTGAGACTCTATTGAGAACTAGTCTGTAAACTAGGCCTGGCAGGAAATGTCGAGTCTCAAAGAAAGGCTGAGAAATTTGGCTCCAAATGGGACTGATTGAAACAATTATAACCAAAGGAATATGAAACTACTTTTCTTCTTCTTGTTGTTTTTCTTCCATTTTGTTTTTTTGAGACAGGGTCTCACTGTATAAACATAGCTGAGGCTAGTCCTGAGCTCAGTGTAGCCCAGGCTGGCCTCAAACTCTCAAGTGATCCTCCTGCCTCAGCCTTCTGAAGACCAGAATTACCGGTGTTTGCCACTGCACCTGGCATTACATTGTGAAGTTTGAAATGCCTCCTATAATTAAGGTCTTACAGCAGAAACAGCAAAACTGTAAGGAAATTAGCAATTTCATATACTTTCTATATTCTATATACCAAAG